TATAATTGAAAGGTGTAATAAAAACTATAGCATACCATTTAAAATAACGAAGTTGTGGTCTACTTCCGGTAGACCGGAAGTGGTGGCCATCTTGAAAATATTTTAGATTGAAAGTTTAGAATGAACAACCCATGCTACCAAAATTACAAACCTCTACGAATAGTGGAACATAAAAAAGTTCTAACGAACCAGTTACGTGAGACACCTGTATATACTTACCTGTTTATATTATGTACACAGCAGTAAACATTTTAAAAGAAATAACTTTAAACACAAGTATAATACTCGTAATAAACATTTGTTAGAAGTGCCGTTGCACCGTCTAAATTTGACCAGACAGGGCGTCGATTATCACGGCGTCAAACTTTATAATAAATTACCACCTAATGTTAAGATGTTGTCCAACACGCGATTTAAGGTATATGTACGTAATTTACTAATAAAAAAATGCTATTACTCCTGTGAGGAATATTTTCAGGACACTGACTATTTTATTTGTTAACTTATTTGTTGTTTGTTAACTTGTTTGTTATTTGTACTCCATCTGTTTGTGAAGATATGATTGTAATTGTAATGACGTTTCATGTAATGTTTATTGTATGAATAATAGTATATTATTATATGAGCATATAATGAGGGCTATTATTCACGAGTGGCATAATTAACCTGAGTGAATAATAGCTCATTATATGCGAGTAGAATACTATACTTTGTCCATGACTATTGAAATTGATTCCATAAATTTATTTTTTAAATACATTTTTGAATAAAGGTTAAACGTCTTAAAAACTTAAAAACCTAAATGTTTTGAAATCTTCTAGTGTTAGCATGCCTCCATAATTGTATCTAAAGTATCAAAAGTATCTCCTGATCACATTCAGACCATCTTATTAAATATGAGAGCTACTTGTGTTGGGTCTGATAGGATAATACATTTCTTTTCTCCCCGTATTCTTGATGTACTTGGCGATCTGTACAATTTTTGTCTTACTCAATTAGTATTCTCAAACTCCTGGAAGTACGGCTATGCAAAATTCGCTATAAAATTAATTTCTTGAAGGATCCTTGTGGAAATATCACCAATTATTAATTAAAGTATCCTCTTTTTAACGCAACAAGCCGTTTTGAAAAATCACTTTTAGTTTTTGAGAAAATAGTAATTGAAATTTTGATCAAATTTTCGATGTTGCAATTTTCATCGATAATTTTCAAAATTAGATATAAAATTAATTTCTTGAAGGATCCTTGTGGAAATAACATCAATTATTAATTAAAGTATCCTCTTTTTAATGCAAAAAGCTGTTTTGAAAAATCACTTTCCATTCTTGAGAAATAAATTTTTGAAATGATCGACAATTTTTTCGAATTTTCCAATTTTCACCGATTAAGTTTTATTAATTTGTATAAAATCGATTTCTTGGAATATGAGTATGAAAATTTCCAAAAATGTCAATAAAAGTGTCCTCTTTCCAATGAAACAACACGTTTTGAAAAATAGCTTTTAGTTTTAGAGAAAACAATATTTGAAGTTTTGATAAAATTTTCGATGTTGCAATGTTCATCGATAATTTTCAAAATTAGATATAAAATTAATTTCTTGAAGGATCCTTGTGGAAATAACATCAATTATTAATTAAAGTATCCTCTTTTGAATGCAAAAAGCCGTTTTGATAAATCACTTTCAGTTCTTGAGAAATAAATTTTTGAAATGATCTACAATTTTTTCGAATTTTGCAATCTTCGCCGATTAAGTTTTAAAAATTCGTATAAAATCCAGTTTTTGGAATAGGAGTATGAAAATATCCCAAACTGTTAATAAAAGCCTCCTATTTTCAATAAACCAACCCGTTTTGAAAAATAACTTTTAAATTTTTTTTCCTAGAAATAGGATTGCCTGCCCCATAGTGAGCCGTTAATAGTATATTATTATATGAGCATATAATGAGGGCTATTATTCACGAGTGGCATAATTAACCTGAGTGAATAATAGCTCATTATATGCGACTAGAATACTATACTTTGTCCACGACTATTGAAATTGATTCCATAAATTTATTTTTTAAATACATTTTTGAATAAAGGTAAACGTCAATGTGACACAAATTCATGTAACCAACTTCACAACAATTTGTCAAAATTAAATGTCAGTTTTATAAAACGTCGTTTTCTTTACGAAAATTAATTAATTTATGCTTAAATCATACGAAAAAACGAATTTGTTTAGGTTTTTTTAATGTCAAACATTTAGAAACTCCTAAAAAATTGAATTAAATTGACGTTTTTTGAACTTTTAACGTTTCAAATAATTATTATTAGTCTGGTCAAGATGGCTACCCGTGGATAATGATTTATTATTCACCGCTATTATTCACTCCGTGAAAAATGACTACCATTTTGGTTTAGAAAACTCATTCATAAGGTATACAGGGTGTTTCGNCTCAGGCACTTCATATACCCTGAAGTCTCGATATAGGCGTCTTTTCTCCTTGATGAGTCTGATAATAAATGGAGGTAGCGGAAAACTGTAGTGTTTGGTGGTTCTGGATGGGCTCGCTTTGTCTATCGACTCCTTAAGACATTTGTTAAACCTTGAGATCGTGTCAACTGTGATTGTCTGATGTGCTTCTATGAAGTCTTTCATTATTGAGTTAACTGTCTCCATGTCGCAAAGCTTATAGTTTTTAATTAAAGTCGGAACAGGTTTAGGTACGTTGGTTGTGACGTTGACATAAACTAAAATGCCCAAGTGATCGGAGCATAAATCCGGAACAACTTCTACCTGTGTAATTAGACCGCGGATGTTTCTTGTACAGAACAGTAGATCAGGAGTAGAGTTCGGATTGTTTTCCATAACGTACGTGGGAGGAGTCGTGATTTGTACGAAATTGGACATATTCAGGAAATGTCTTATGTGTTTCCTTTTGGTTAGATTCGGATTGAAGTCACCAATTATGAGACATTTGTCGTGCAGTGAGGCCATGTTAAATATGGATTCTTCAATTTTACTAAACGGGTGGATATAAATTAAGAAAACATGTATTAAGTCTGTCCCGAGAGTGATACAAAAATGAAGTGCATTATTTAATGGAGAGTTGATTGCGGGGGGGTTGGATTTTCTCAATTGTATCGTGGGGTGGTCCATAGCCACCGCTCCTCCTCTGACTCCTCTATTTATAATATTGCCGTGATTGTGGATTGACGTCCAGTTTCTAAATGTGATGGAAGACTTCGATTTTGTTTCCACAAACATTGCGCAACGGATGTGATTCTCAATGATGTAGTTTCCGATCAGGTGTGATTTCGGGTGGTAGCTGTTAATGTTTGCGTACAATAATTTTATGCTGGTTTATGCTGGATAGGTTCTGTAGGAGATGGCTTAGAGGTGTCCTGGAGATCAATTATGATAACGTACATGTAACTTCCAGAAAATGCGACAATCGTATCGATTTGGTAGTTTTCTACAAATTTCCGTTTGAGGGAATTGATAAGCTCTTGACGATCGCGTGGTTTGGGTGAGTTAATTTTTGAGAGGTAGGTATCAATAATGTGGTCGTGAATGGTGATTGGTTTATGTATGCGTGTTTCTTTTGTTTTTGTAGAAATTTGGTCAGATTTTTTATTAGCCGATTTTATTCTAACGTTAGGGACTCCTCGTATGGGAGCTGTGGGGCGGTTCTTGCATTTTAGTGACCAGGCACTGTGTCCCTCCAGACCGCAGGATTTACATTTCTCCGGTAGCTGTGAGGTGCATTTAGTGTACTGTGTGGGCCGACGCTTTACCATAAAAATTGTTTAAGATATTTAGAAAAATGTGTTAACATTTTCTAACTTTGATGGCCTGTATCTTTGCAATTTGAGAACTTTTACTAATTTTTTTTTACATGAATCATCATCATTTTCACTCTAGTACATGCGGTTACATTTGTTCCCCGAGTCACCGAAACACCCTGTATATTATAAGATAGTCGTGGACAAAGAACTATTATTATTATTATTATTATTAATGGCGTTTCTATACTACTCATATATTAAATGAGATAAATGATGCGATAAATAAAACTCAAACTTTATTGATATAAGCTGTGGTGGCGATTGAGTCGTCTTCGACACTTTGAAATCTTTTCCACTATATAAATCTAAACGTGTCTATCATTATTACTTTTATCTATAATAATTCAACATATTGCAATACTCAAACAGCCGTTAAAAACACTAATTCGTGCGTTCAAATCTTAAATCGTTTCTTGACGTGTTATTTAACATTCTAATCTTAAAATAAACTTTTCTCCATCCATTTAACACATTGCGATCCATCCTATAAAGGTTAATGATACAAAAAAAAATCATCTCGTATTTTCTCGTCTCCTTTGATAAATTACACTCAAGTTTCACTCTAGATATGCGTTTTCTAAATTCTCCGATGATATTTTCTCTTTTTTTTTTTACAAAAGTAGATAAAAATTAATTAATTTCAACAAATTACCCCTTTTTCTTTTCAATTAATTTTTTTATTTTGTTTTTGTTTTAAAGTTAAATCGAATCATCATCGATTTAATAACAATTTGAAAGTAAATCGTAACGCAATCGATCTTAAAAGAGAGAGGCATCCGATTAATCTTTTAAAATAAAAAAATTGTAATAGTAAAATGGTAATCAAATAAGACTAAAAACGTAAAAGGAGGTTGCAAGGATTACCGTCTAATAAAATCCCAATTTCGCAACGCAACGCGTTTAAAACCTTTAAATTAAATAGGGATTTTATATTTTACGACGTCTAATAACAACAATCTCGTTCCGTAACAGAAACTTCAAGTAGAAAAAAATAACTGTGCTTTCAGAGAGAGCTTCAGTTACGCAACAATTATCTTTCTTTTTTTACATTTTAAAGCCTTTAAATAATTACTTCACATCATATTATATCTTCATTCACCGTTTTCTCTTTAGTTTTACAAATTCGTTTTTCTTTTTAATTTAATTATTTTTTTTTCTTTCTTTTTTAGACACGGCAGATTGAACGTTTTACGTTGGCTCTTGTGGGAAGCTCAGGTTCGAACCGAAATGCCCGCTTTAGAAAGGGCTTCTTCGACAACAAACACAACTTTAGCACTACATTACGCCGCTGCGAGAGGATGTTTGGATTGTGTAAGACTGCTTGTTGATTCTTCGCAAGAGTTAAGGTAAGTGTTACTCGATAAAGTAGCAATTTTTCGAACGGTTTTTAAATGATTCGCTCTGAAACTGTTAACAAAATAAGTAGGTTAGATGGATTAAATCGATAAAAGAACATTGAAGAACATGTGTTGTCTTACCGTTTTTCTTTAAGAAATAAGATAAATGTCTTTAGATAGAAGCGAGAAAGGTAGGTTATAAGGAATCTTGCGATTTTCTTCGGTTCACAGCTGTTGTTATTTGTAAGAACGTGATTAAAGTAAGTTTTGAGAAATTGTAATAAATATGTTATTTTTTATTTACAATTATTTTAAATGATGATATACAAAGAAAAATTCCTGAAGCAAAACGAAATCTGTGTTACTGTCTTTTGCGATATTAATATTAACCTCTTATCCACTGGATCTTCTGCTAATGTCTTCATATCTACTTTGAATGCATTTAATTTATGGCAAATTGTTGTCCAACTCGAAATTACTGATTGCTCTGAGACCCTAATTGACGTTATTAGTATATCTAAAAAGTTACCTCTTCTTATATATGATACTGAGGATATTATGGTCTCAAATCATTTGTTAGTCTCTTCTCAATAGTGCTGAATCTAAGGCCAAATTTATTAGCTTCCGTGATTATCGTGCTATCGATATGAATAAACTTAGCAAAGATCTCGATTTAATGAACTGGGAGGATGTTTATGATTTTGAGGATATTAACGACACGTTTAACTGTTTTACTGAATTACTGAATGATGCTTTCAATAAATGTAAGAGAAACAGAAATTAGGGAACTTTTCAGTATAAACTTCCTTTTTACTAATTCTAGAAATGTGTGGAAAAATCTTAAAAACTTTAATGTTTTGAAATTTTCCAGTGTTAGATTATTAATTAAAGTATCCTCTTTTTAATCCAAAAAGGCGTTTTGAGAAATCACTTTTAGTTTTTGACAAATAAATTTTTGAAATGATCAACCATTTTTTCGAATTTTGCAATTTTCGCCGAATAAGTTTTAAAAATTCGTATAAAATCGATTTCTTGGAATATGAGTTTGAAAATTTTGCAAAATGTTAATGAAAGTGTCCTCTTTCCAATGAAACAACCCATTTTGAAAAAAAACTTTTAGTTTTTGAAAAAACAATATTTGAAGTTTTGATAAAATTTTCAAAGTTGCAATTTTCATCGATAATTCTCAAAATTCGCTATAAAATTAATTTCTTGAAGGATCCTTGTGGAAGTATCACCAATTATTAACTAAAGTATCCTCTTTTTAATGCAAAAAACCGTTTTGAGAAATCACTTTCAGTTCTTGAGAAAAAAATTTTTGAAATGATCTACAATTTTTTCGAATTTTGTAATCTTCGCCGATTAAGTTTTAAAAATTCGTATAAAATCCAGTTCTTGGTATAGGAGTATGAAAATTTCCGAAAATGTTAACAAAAGTGTCCTCTTTCCAATGAACCAACCCGTTTTGAAAAATAACTTTTAGTTTTTGAGAAAACAATATTTGAAGTTTTGATAAAATTTTCGATGTTGCAATTTTCATCGATAATTTTCAAAATTCGCTATAAAATTAATTTCTTGAAGGATCCTTGTGGAAATATCACCAATTATTAATTAAAGTATCCTCTTTTTAATGCAAAAAGCCGTTTTGAAAAATCACTTTTAGTTTTTGAGAAATAAATTTTTGAAATGATCGACAATTTTTTCGAATTTTGCAATTTTCGCCGATTAAGTTTTAAAAATTCGTATAAAATCGATTTCTTGGAATATGAGTATGAAAATTTCTCAAAGTGTTAATAAAAGTGTCCTCTTTCCAATGAACCAACCCGTTTTGAAAAATAACTTTTAGTTTTCGAGAAAACAATATTTGAAGTTTTGATAAAGCTTTCGATGTTGCAATTTTCATCGATAATTTTCAAAATACGCTATAACATTAATTTCTTGAAGGATCTTTGTGGAAATATCGCCAATTGTTAATTAAAGTTGCTTCGTGAGTTAAATCAGCATCAAAAATGTTCATTTTGTATCTTGGATCCAAATAAGTTGACATATCTTCTCAGGTTTCTTATTAATTTCATTTTTATTCAAATATCGCTATAATGGCCGAAGAGGATGCCGAATATCCGTTTTTTCGCAAAATCACTATCCGTTCCATCACTACTTATTAGTCTTATTTAGAGGACAAGGGCGTTAGATCAGGACGTAAAATTGGTTTCTCATTTTGAAAAATTCGTGAAGCCAAACGAAAGGAGTAAGACGAGGAAACCAAGAAATTGAGCTTTTTTCTCTCTCACCTTCTTTGTCATCGCCAAGTTTGATGCAAATGTTGCATGCTATGAGTGGTACCGTCTTGCTAGTACCACAAATTCAACTCATCTAGTTTCGGTATTAAGACCTTGTTACCGCATTCCCACTGCCATTTTGAAAAAAGCATGGCCTAATTTCATCTTCTGAGTAAACAGCACAACATGCAGTCACTTGTTGTGGATGGAGTGATGTGTCATGGAGAACACAAAGATTGTTGTTGTCCAAAAGTAAGTAACTAATAAAGTCTTTTGGGTTTGTCTGCCAAGCTTTGAATGCTACCTTTTTATTTCTGATAGCATCTCCTTTCTCTTCCTTCCACAAGGTCGGATCTTTGCCTGTGCTGATACCCCCTTTAGATAGCCCCAATTTAACACTGGTTCTGTTCCTGCACTCCTTCTTGAAACCCATCCACTTCTCATTAGCCGTAGCATAAGAAATTTGTATACCCTTCTTCATACATTTTCTCATGTGTTTGAGAAGAGTTACTATTTGGCCCAGGAGGTCTTTGCAATCGTTGAAGTTACCTCTTGCGTTTTTATCATCCAGGATGAGGTTAATCTGTGATGTCTTTCCTCCACTTTTGTAGGTGACCAGAACTTTCTTTTGAAAGGTGATGTTTATCAAACTCAAGTTGTAACGTGAGCAGAATTTCGGGATATTTTTCTTCGCACCTTTCCATCGCGTCTCCTGAATGCAGCATATATTTATGTTTCTCAATTTCAAGATTTCAGGAAATCTGCACTGCGTCCAGTAAGGGTTTCTAGATTCCACGTTGCTATCTTAACCCCTTACTGAATGATTTTTTATATTTAATTAAAAATAAGTCTATTACACCACTAACCTACTCAAAAGCTCACAAACCATTGAAAGTATGCATATAATTCTTTTTTTTTTAAGTATTTCGAAAAAAACTTTATGTGCACGTATATGGCACGATTTGAGGTATCAGCAAAAATTAATAACAAGACATTTAGTATAATATTGTCTTTGCGAACGTCTTAGGCAGGAATTTCTAAGAACGGGTATTTTTTCTTTTTTAGATTCAGTTTAGGCTGTAATCGTAAATTTTTCGGAATTTTGCTATTTCCGCCGATTAAATTTTAATAATTCATATAAAATCCATTTCTTGGAATATGATTATGAAAACTTCCAAAAGTGTTAATAAAAGTGTCCTCTTTCCAATGAACCAACCCGTTTTGAAAAATAACTTTTAGTTTTTGAGAAAACAATATTTGAAGTTTTGATAAAATTTTCGATGTCGCAATTTTCATCGATAACTTGCGAAATTTGCTATAAAATTAATTTTTTGAAGGACCCTTGTGGAAATGTCACCAATTATTAATTAAAGTATCCTCTTCTTAATGCAAAAAGCCATTTTGAAAAATCAGTTTCAGTTCTTGAGAAATAAATTTTTGAAATTATCTAAAATTTTTTCGAATTTTGCAATCTTCGCCGATTAAGTTTTAAAAATTCGTATAAAATCCAGTTCTTGGAATAGGAGTATGAAAATTTCCCAAAGTGTTAATAAAAGTGTCCTCTTTCTAATGAACCAAACTCTGATTT